ACCCCAAAACCCTATTCTTAGTTAGCTGACTAGCTCAAAGCCCAGCTAGTCATTTGACAGATGCGCAAGGCATCGTCAACAGTACTCGCCTCAGACATATGTCCGCGATCACCCCAAAACCCTATTCTAATTATTAAAGCCCCTAATATAGAACCCTATCATAGATCCCTTACATTACAGAACCCTTTAAGGATCCCTTTAAAGGAACCCTAGTCTTGTGTTATCTTTGGAGCACAGGCAGCCTTGAGACCTCAAACCTGCACGATCTGGGCTTCTGGGGTTTAAGGGGTCCTGGTTAAGGGGTTTTGAGTTTAGGGTTTAGGGTGTTTAGGGTGTTTAGGGGTTTAGGGTTTAGGGGTTTAGGGTGTTTAGGGGTTTAGGGTTTAGGGTTTCGGGTTTAGGTCAATAAGGGTTGTAGGGATTAGGTTTGGAGTTTAGGGTTTGGGAGTTCGGGTTTAGGGTTTAGGGATTAGGGTTTAGGGTTCAGGGTTTAGGTCATGGCTTCAGCGGTTTAGGCTGTTTTTGGATTCGGGTCTCGGGCTCACGGACGAGTGCTGATCAATGGAAGCTCGGCAGTTGCACAAATGCACAGATAATCATGCACATGCACATATGTGTACATCTATGTGTATGTACATTTGTATGTTTTTAAATAGAGGTTTTTAATCTGCGTAATTGCGTGCGTGTCTGTGTGTGTGCGTGCAAGCGATATGTATGTACAGAGCATTACTGCGTGATTTGAAATTCATCAGATGACTGGGTGCTTGCAGACTTTAGGTTTAAGTCCCTCTGATCGATTTGACAGCCCCGGCCGAGCTAGAGCGCCATTCAACCCGAAGTGTTTAAGCCCGAAGCCGCCACAAGCGAAAATGCATATTAATCAATCGCTTACACACCTCAAACGTGTAAATGCACTCCCACTCCCTCCCCCAGAAAGTTGACTTCTCCCAAGCCCGCCATCGTAAATCCGGCACAAAGCATTGCCAATCCCTGAAAGTTGGAAGCACAAAGACACAAGTTTGAGCGAACCTGAGGCTTCGACATCGAGGAGCTTGGGATATGGCTTGGCTTTTGGAGTTTGGGGTTTAGGAGCTTGGTGTAGGGTTTGCACACCAAGTGGGGTCAAGGCCCTGATCTGCGGGGCTTCAATACCTATCCGACCTATCCCCGATGATCATTCACGAAAGTCTAAAGCCTAGAGATCGAGCAGCACATGCTCAGCTCTCATGTTCCTTGGCACAATCCGGTGCAGGACCACCCGTGCGCCGATCTTCTGGGCGTTCTCCCTCGGTCCATCAAGGTACGCTGCACCAGCGTCGGAAGTTGAGTCGGATGAAACTTGAAAGTTGCAGGAGCTACAAATCTGAATGACCTGCTATTTTTCCACAGCCCTGGCAGCGCTTCCTCAACATACAGTATGTCGTTGGGAGCAGTAGTAGTAGTAGTAGTAGTAGTAGTAGTAGTAGTATGTAGAAGGAATAAACCTTCTGATCGCTTCTGAACACTGCTGTGCACACCGATGCACGACCTCAAAGAAACAGTGCCATGGCCGAATTTCGAACACTTTTACGCAAGCACGAATGTCCTGGTAGCTTCTTCATCACTGCCGAATGTTTTTCGGAGGATTACTGCTAGCTGCTATACATATCCGTGGAGCATATCACATGCTGAGCTTCAAGCCTGCGGGCATTCAAAAGCCTTTCGCAGAGCCATCAACGCTCCTGAGCTTCAACACTCCTCCTTGACCTAGGGTCTCCGCCCGTAGGTCACAGAATGTTTTCGTAGTCCATAAATTCAAGCTGCTTCACAGCTCTGAGCATGCATACTGGCTTCGTACTTGGACCCCTCGTTGACACATCAAAGGATTCGCCTCGGCTCCGACCGAGATCTCTTGACGTAGATTGGTTCATTCTTCGTACTCCAGCTTGTAAACCTGGCCTGCGTTCCTTAGTCCGTGGCATTGAGGATTTGTGTGCAACTTTGATCGAGCTGAATCTGTCTTGTAAAACGCATCATGTGCCATCACCTCAAAATTCGCACCAGTGGTAAATGTAGGCTCTTGTCGTGCCGGCGACCTGGTAGATCTCATTACAGGGTGAGGGGGAGGAGGTGGCGTTGCATCGTCTGCACGTGCCAGCACCGCTCTGTCTACCTCCTCCTCAGCTGCACCCTTCGCTGCCTCGCGCAATTTTCTTAGTCGCCGTTGCTTCGGCGACTCCCTGCAAGCCTTCAAAACCCAGGCCATTGCACCTTTACCCACTTCCCACATCACAACAGCGGTAATACATACAAGCAGCGTCACCACAAACAGCTCGTCTATTCCAGCCACTTGTATCTTAGCACTTGTAGCATCCGCCGCCGTAGATGGTTGTACCAACATCGCCCAAATCAAGCATGTTAGATACAAGGTTTTCATCTGCAGAGCTTGCATAGCTTCTTCAGGTAGTCCTCGGAAATTCCATAGGGCCAAAAGCTCCCACAGACGGATCTTTCCGTGCATTTTTGTTGCCAGATCTGCCAGTTGGCCATCTCCACCCACATGTTCCACAGTCAACGCTGCAGATTCGACTTGCTCTCTGATCTTCGCACTTCTGACCTTGAGGTGTCTGGTCCTCCAACTTCCTGGACCTCCAGTTATCATTGCCACTGCCGACGCGTTGTCCACCAACAACTTTCTTGGAACCTTTGCTCCCACAAACTCATCCAACAAACAACCAATATTTTCCAATAAGGTAGTCGCCGTAGATGCTTCCAGAAGTTCTGCTTCCATCACCGACAATGTCACGAACGCTTGTTTGCTGGCCTTCCAAGCCACCGGGTAACCATTGACAGTTATCACTGAAGCTCCAAACGACTTTTCCCCGCTCGGGGAGAAACTAGCATCGCTCCATCCCACCAAACTTGGAATGTTGTTGATGTCATGCTCACTGTAGTGGTGATTTGGGTTGCTTGAAGTTGTGATCTGCTGGGGCTCGCTGCTGCTTGGTGGATCGCTGGTTGTGCTTTCGCCTCCAATAACCATCTTCATCATGACAGTAGTTTTCAAATAGGCCAGGAGGCGCTTCGCGATTTGTACCACCTTGTTTGGTTTCTTGCTGACCTTCGAAGCCATATACGCAACTGGGAACTGCAAGTCTGGCCGACACCGCATCATCAACCAAAGTTGTTCTCCTACTGCTTTCTGACCCAGCTTAAGCTCCTCCATAGAAAAGTTCTCCTCCTCCGAGTCCTCGCCATCTGCCAACCATTCCTTGGGGCATGGCAGCCTTGTGCTGAGAGCCTCTTCCATTCCATAGCTGCGTAGTAGCTCTCGTATATAGCCTTCTTGAGAAAGCTCGAAAGTGAAGTCGGGCTGCTGCTGGATTTCCATACCCAAATAACGAGTTCCACCACACCCATCTGCCCATTCCAACTCGCTGCAGGGCCAAGCCTCCTGCACCCACGAATGAATGGCTTCGATGATGGGCTTGTCGGACAGGTAAAACAGATCGTCCACATAGGTTATGATCAAGGCCAACAAACTGCCTTGTGACTTCACAACATCTTTCTCATCATAAGCCAGCCAAATTTCAGGATCCGCTGTAGACTGCTTCAACACAATGGTACGGCCTTTGTAGCTGATCTTTGCCTCCTTGAGCCGATCCGTGCGACACTTCGCCCAAATCGCGGGTGATTCCCGCAGACCGTAGAGGGGCCGCATGACTTCCCAAATTTCATTGGGGTCTGCCAGGCCCGCCTCGATAAGAATTCGAGGCGGGAAGATCCCGTAACGGGCTAAGTGGTCCGGCCATTGTGCCAGCAAAAAGGCCCCTGTCACATCTGACGTGCCCCCATACCACTTCCGATGGGAAGCGTAGGCCAACGCTAGTCGCACCGTATCCGCACTTACGCCGCTGGCATAAAGGCTGAAAGTGTCGTCGTCACGCCCAACGTGATTTCCACATAGCACTAGGCGAAACTTGCGGCGGACTTTGTTGCCCTTCACCTGAGGCGGTTTAAGGGTGTAGACCCCTTTCGAGGGCACCAGTTTCAAGAGTCCTCTTTTCTCCAGCTCACGGGCCTTGGATATCGGCATCGGCTTCAGCGTTCCATCCAGGAGTTGCTTTACTTCTTTTTTCAAAGCTTCCATCCACAAATCCAATGCGGCACGGACTTGTTGCAGAGGAACCGTATGAACCACTTCCAGGTCACCGTCCAGCTCTTGAAGCAACTTCTCATAGTCTGGCTCCTCCTGGAAAGATATCGCCCTCAAACACGCCTCGTTAGTAGCCTTTGCTCCAGCCGCTTTGAGACGTGTCACATCATCCATCATGTCCTCAAGATAGGCTCTAACATGGTCGACCTCATCCTCCACCTGTTGCCCTGCTCGCCGACATTCCTCTGCTAAGATCTCCTCCTCCTCAAGCATGAACCTGAGTCGCTCCGATCTTTCTTGCAGGTCTTCAAGTAGTTGGTCTTGGCTTTCAGTCAGCGTCACAACGGCGTCCTCTAAGGTCTCATCTTCAGGACTTGAAAGCTTTCTCACCAGGTGTAATTCGCATTGATCCCCCGGTGGCCTTTTGCCCTGCTCGAAGTAGTCCTTGAGTTGCTCTTCGTTGTTGTGGATCACGTGGTCACCGGTCTGAGCTTCGTTGTTGTGGATCACGTCGAAGAACTCGCTCTGGAATCCAACAAATTCCAACGCATCCCGATCTTGGTAGTGAAGCTTGCTAAGGCGTGGTGTGTAAAGAACCATCACCACTCGGGCACCACTCCATTCTTGAACTTCATGCCATCTTCGAGGTTGGAACTTGAAAGGCTGACCCACTTCCAACTTGTGCGTGAACCCCTTCTTCCACAGCTTCTTTGATACCTTTCTCCAATCGGCGTACTTGTCGTCCAAATCGTCATGCTCCAACCAAAGATCTCCTCCACAACCCGGGGCCTTCAGCAGCACAACCACATTCTCGCTGCCAACCTCGTTGTGGGAATCCTTGTGGCATCCAATGGACATGTCTTCCAAGATACCTAAAGCAGTGAAGTCGGGATGGCCCGTGATCTTTTTGGCTGCCTGCACCAAGTATCGAGTAGTCCATTTCAACCTCGTAGTAGCACTTCGCAACCCTGCAACACCACCATGGACAAACATCCCAGTAAACCAGGCCTTTCCCTTTGACAAAGCTGATCTCCCACTCGCTGGCCCGGACTTGATGGCCTTGAGACGGCTGTACAGCTCCAAGACATCTTCCACCGCCCACTTCTCCTTGGCAATGAAGTTCTTGGCCACACACTCCACTTGCTCCTCTTCTGTTGTAAGCGATGTTCTTGGAAAAGTTTGGCTAGGCGTGTCTTTCCCCTCAGCCTTTTGTCCGGTAATGCAATCTCAATCTCCCTTGGCACCAAGTCTATCAAGCTGTCTGCGTCCACCAGGTTCTGTTTCAAGTGTAGACTTGTCACGAAAGTACTATCAGGGAACCGCACCACATGTGCGTGTTGGACTTCTGAGGACGGCCCGACATAGATCCCTTGAGACCACTTGTTCTCCAAGTCATAGCGCCCCGCTTGCCCATACACCTTGGTACGCACATGGACCGGAGTTCCGAAGCAAGGCATGTCGTCTGTTCTTCCAAGAACCCGGTGTCGTTGCTTTGCTGCCGCATACATCATTGCTAGTGGCCACGTCTGTTTGGGCAAACCCGCTGAGGTCATAAGGCGTTTGGCTTCCAACTTCACAAACTTCACGGTGGCCTCTGCTCGCCCATTTTGCTGGGGTGTTTGCGCCTCGCCTGTTGTAGCCAAAACCCCTCGCTCCAGTAGCCACTCACGAAGTCGACGATTGCAAAGCTCAGTAGCCCTATCTGAATGTAAACGGAACACCTCTAAGCCGTCGGCCTTCACCTGCAAGTACATTTGCCTCACTCTTGCATTCACCTCAGACGCCCTTCTCGAACGCATTGGAACTGCATATCTGAGCACTTGATAGTCCAATCGGTCTCCCACCTCCTTGACGAGCTCATTGTACTGGGCGTTCAAACGGTCCATCTCCTCCTGGTCCTGTGCTCCAACAACGGGAGTGGGGTCCTCACCTTCAACCTCAAAGACCCCTTCCAAGTCTGAAGCCAAAGCTGCATCGCCATGTACGGGACCTGGATCATCTGCTGGTTCTGTACCAACTTCAATGGGACCACTGGGACCTGGATCATCTGCTGGTTCTGTACCAACTTCACGGGGACCAATCTCTATCTCTCCTACACCACCTTCAGGTTCATTCACTATAACATCTCCAGGTTCGCATACTTCTCGCTTCAAGACAGGCATAGTGTACGAACCCACCAGCATGTATCGATGATCCAAGGCACTGGGTGTCTGACCCTTAACTCTGAAAGGGCCACAAACATCCACCGATAACGTAAAACACGAAGGTGCATGCACTCGTCGATGTGCGTGGCCGGTTGCCTTCGACGAGATACATGTTTGACACCGCTTGTTGTACGGTTGGTGGCCTTGACGAACATGCTGTGTCCATTTGTTCAACTCTTCTTTTGTCATCTGAGAGAGAGGCCCATCCATGCGGCATAGCGCCAACGTGTTGCGCCAGCGCTTGATCCCTTGAACCAAGCCTTGACGAAAGCCCACAGTCCATCGAAGTTGTCCCTTTAGACCCTTGACCTCCCAGTCCTCCTCAGGCCAAGTGGTAGCCAAGTTCGTCACACATCTCGTCATTCCTGAGGAGGTCCATCGAAGCTTCGCTTGCAGGCCCTTCATCTGCTTCCACATAGGTGAAAGCCACAGCGCGCTGTTCACAGGCATGGTCATGGCAAAGTAGGGGATTCGGGCTTCAACCTCCTCGGCCGCCATTTTGCTGACCCACCAGAGAAAGAACTGCTTCAGCACCAATTCTCCTTCTCCTTCTCCACGCGGTGGACTTCCAAGCAAACCTTCGATCTGACCCCTCATTGCCGCCCACAAAAGTGCTCGGTGGGCTGGGGTGGGGCCCTTCAAATTGAAGGCACGACTCTTCTTCAGGTCCATCTCAAGCAACACCAAACCATTCTCCTCCAAGGCCTTTAAGTCTGAATGTTGCCCTTCGCCCGAGAAAAGATTGACAATCCAGCTTGAAGTCAACAAATGCTTCCTCATCGACCTCTTTATCGGCAATTGCTTCAAATAGCGAACTCCCGCTTCATCACTGAGGTCAATGTCCTGAGCCAAAGCACACCGCTGCGACTCTGTAAGGTGGTAGAAGGTCGAATCCGACGCCATCAACGCCTTCAAGCCTTCTGTTCGGTTGCCGGTTCTTCGATACTCCAACAAACTTGTCTCGAACGACGCCTCTGTCTCCAAGCCAAGAACCCTGAGCTGAGTCTCAACCGTGTTCACCTTCAGTTGCTCCAGCTTCCTGGCTTCAATCTCTTCTATCAGCTGGAGTGCGCGTGCCTCCCCTATGAAGGGGCACGAGCCCACCACGTGAGTGGTCAACTCGCCATGCTCTGGATGCCGAACACGTAGACCTCGCTTGTCCCATGCCACTGTGCAGCCCAGCTCCTGGACCAATGTGCCCAGAGGCACAATCGTCGTCACAGAGTTGGCGCGGTCCAGATGGGAGTCCTTGACAGGCATCAATGTACCCGCCCTGTTTTGCTGTAGATCCACCTTTTGTCCGTCCGCCAACTGGACCTGAACAATGTCGGCGAGGTCCCGTTCCACCAAAGGCTTGAACGGATGTGTCGCTCCAGAGTCCAACAATGCTACTCCATCTTGGGCATTGCCGAAGCTAGCCATAGACGCTTCCACCCTCTTCATGTCCGGCTCCAGGGCATCCACCAACTCCATCCGGTTGAGTCTGGTCAACCGCTGTAGCATAGTGTTGACCTCCTTCATAAACGCTTGGATCTCTGGGCCTTGAACTCCTCCTTCTGGGACGGCTTGCACAGGCTCTGCAATCACAACTCCTGGTCGCTGCTCGCCAACAGCTCCTCTGCCAAGTGTGACAGAACTCGTACAGTCCTGCATCGAGGTTGCCGGAGTGGTTGCCTTCGGTTCCACCTGTTGTACCGCTGCCACAGTAGGGGTTGGTCTCGAGGTTGTAGTAGAGGACGAAGAAGCTGTGCTGTCTCGGGGCTTCCTGGCGCCTTCCTTTACGGGGCATTCATTTTGTCTGTGCTGCTTGGATCCACAGTGCCAGCATCTTGCACGCTTATCGTCTTTGCTTTGAAACTCGTGCTGAAATTTGCAAGCTTGGCCACGCTTGCATCCCGCTTCTGAGGCAAAAAACTTGCATGGCGTTGTTGCCGCCGTGCTCCGCTGAGAGGCCCTCGTGGGTGACGTTGTGGGACTCGTAGTCGTAGAAGCCTCGCCAGTGCCAGCTCCTATTGCTCGAACCTTGGGCGGTTCGCTGGACCCCGAGGAGCTCTTCAACGACCACTTAGCAGGAAGTGCCTGCTGCAGCTCCGCCATCAGGTGGTCGTAAAACTTCATCACCGACTCCTGAGTCGGCCTGTTCTGCAGCTGCAACTCGTTTCTGGCTAAAGAAAGTCTGAAACTCATCTCTGGATGCTTCTGCACACAAGCGGCAACTGTGACCTCCAGCCCACGCAAAAGGATGCTCCCGTCGGGCACCGAGAGATGCATTTCCTGCGAGCGGGTGAGGTGTCTTTTCCATTTCCTTAGCGCCGCTATAGCATCCACAACTTGATCTCCAGCAGACTGTCCTTCCAGATGTTTCAACACCGCGGTGCGTTCTGCAATGCCACCTGGAGAGTACAAGATGTGCAGCCGAAACAGCACAGCTGCCACCGAAGATACTCTATGAGCCACAGCATCTTCCCGCACCATCTTTGGCATTGCTGCAAGAATCAACGTCATGACCTTGCGGTCCAGGCGAACCCACTTAGGTTCCAGCAGCTCAGGGGCCGGCCTTGGCCCTATGGTGAGCCGCTCCAAAGGCGACGCCACCTGGTACCGTGCATAGGCTTCACGAACACACGCCAGAGTCTTCTCGTACCACGAAGATGCAGAGTCCGACATAGCTCCAATGGTTTGCTCTGCCACATAAAGCCAATCACTGAACTCAACACCCGTCTCCCCACTCAACTCTGGCAAAGCTGGCAGCTCTGTGCTCTTGAGTGTTTCATGATCCACACCACCCTTCTTGTCCATATACACCTGCTGCAACTGCCTCATGCCTTGAACCAAAATGTTCAAAGGGGAATCCTCATCTGTACTCGGGGCCTCTCGCGCTCGTCGATCTTCCAGAGGTCCAAATTGCGGCGCCAAGGCTGGTCCACTGGGCTCCGCTCTAAAAGGATTGCCTCCTTGACCAAACAAGCGATCTGAAAGTCCACCCGCCAAACTGGCTGCATCATCAGCCCGATCTTGCGCAGGAAGATTGCCCTCAGATACCCCAAAGCTGCCTCGAAAAACAGGAGGTGCCTCTTGTGGTTCCTTGGGGCCTTGACCTCTGCCAAGAAGTTGGCTTCCAGGTTCGTTGCCTGGATGCCCCCCATGACCTCCCTGAGGTTGCGCCCCTTGGCCACTGCTTCCTCCCGCCGCAATCAACTCATTAAGCAGTTGCGCTGAAGTTTCCAAGGCTTGCTTCAGCTCTTGATTCTCGCTCCGTAGATCCTTGACTTCCATGTCCCTGCCAGTCATGGCTAATTGAACCTGCTTCTTCACCTCCTCCATGATCTGTTCATGGGACAAACTAGCCGATGAGCTGTCATCCCGGACGCCACTTGGATTAGGAGGTCTTGAGGTCATAGCCGTGGGTCTTGCTGTCCATTCAGCCATAGCCTGCCGCACTTCAGGAGACATCAAAGGGGTCTGCAATGGAGTAGTTCCAGGGTTAGGGGTCTGCCATGGAGAAACAGCTGCTCGAGGGTCTCCTTCGCTATCTGTGTAACCACCCATCTGACCCATAACCGGAGCCACCACACGACGATGTAGTACCTCGCTGATCCTGGTAACTGACCATAGACCTTGCCTCCTTCCATCATCTCCCGAAGACACTGGAGTAGGGCTCGAAGGGCTCTGGCTTGCCTGAAGCGCTCTCGTAGCCCTTGCTTGTACCGCTTGCACCACCGAGGCCCTCTGCTGTGACAACTGCTGCACAGCCGTCTGAAGTTGCTGAGGTAAACCTGAAGAGGAAGGCCTCTGGGCTGCACCACTTGAGTCTTCTCCAGATTCTTGAGGTTGCGGAGCATGCGCAATCTCCTGGGCTGTAGGCTGTGATGCTGGCTGCTGCTGCTGTGGTGGGGCTACTGTTGCTTGATCCGTAGATGCTTGCTGGTTTACTTCCGTCGTCGTATCGCTCGTACGTCGCGTTCCAAGTCCGGTGTTCGCGCCCGATCCGGAAGGTTCGCTCATCTCTCCACCAGAAACAGCTGCCCGCCCAACATCTGCACTTGAAACAGGCTGCAAGTTCCGAGGAGGGTCCACCCCATTCGGTAGACCACCAGCTGTTGCTGCACCATAAGCCGGGCCTGAACTTTCCCCTTCCAGCACCAGCCTCTGCCCTTGGTTAGAACCTTGGGCGCTCATAACCTGTAGAAGGAATAAACCTTCTGATCGCTTCTGAACACTGCTGTGCACACCGATGCACGACCTCAAAGAAACAGTGCCATGGCCGAATTTCGAACACTTTTACGCAAGCACGAATGTCCTGGTAGCTTCTTCATCACTGCCGAATGTTTTTCGGAGGATTACTGCTAGCTGCTATACATATCCGTGGAGCATATCACATGCTGAGCTTCAAGCCTGCGGGCATTCAAAAGCCTTTCGCAGAGCCATCAACGCTCCTGAGCTTCAACATAGTAGTAGAAGTAGTAGTAGTAG